GAAGTAAGTATTACTTTCTCCAGTACGTCTAATGTTACGTTTCTTAATCCATCGCAATAAATCCATTCTTGCCATAGTCCTGTTTTAGTTTTATATCTTACAGAAATCACAAAATTATGATTTTAAACAACTGTTCGCAATACATAACAAAGAGTAAGAGTATTTAATGTAAGAAAATCGTGATTATAAAATATTTGCTTACTGTCCAGAGATGGCAGAAATATTTTCATCAATGTGTTTCAGTTCTTCATGAGCAATAGAGTGACACATAATACTACTGAAGAGACACGCCCATTTAAATACTTCGTATCGCAAACATGTGTGAAATGGCGTTGTAACATACTTGTCAAATAAAATGTGAGGAAGAAGTCTTTCTAAGAGAGATCTTAGTGACGCCTAACAGTGATATAATACTAATTTTATACAGTTTGCTTGAGAATTCTATACTAATATTTTTTCTAGTTTTGCGTTTTGGAAACAAAATGTTTTAGAAGGAAGAACAACAACAAAAAGAAAGAAAAGTAGACAGAGAGAGAAATTGAGTGTGAAACAGAGTGTATGTATAAGGAAGTATTCTACAGAAATTGTAGTGATAATAATGTGACAAGAATCTGTGTTTGATGAGTAATTTAGAATATAGTCTACAGACTATAAAAAAGCACAATATAACCAATGATTTTTTATACTTTAAAGTAACTTATGCAGACTAAAAAAAGATCTGCATCTACTATATATATATATATATATATATATATATATATATATATATATGTTCTTATATATGTTTACAATTACACAAACAAAGATAATGTTAGTTTTTAATTAACCTTGAAAGTAACATCCAGATCAGCAAATGGAAAGTAAGTTGACATGTCTTCCAAAATTCTAATCATTGGGTACCAAACTTCATACTCGTGTTCGTCTTGTAAATAGTCTAAGATTCTGAACCACATAAAAAGTTGTTTTTCTTTTACAAAAAAATAATACAAGTTATCAATAATTTGAGCACGATTTAAAACAGGTAATGATGCATGCCAAATGATATGATCAAAAAGAGTTACTTCGTTTTTATGATGTGTGTAATAGACGCGATAGTATCCTATAACAAACATATTTTATGTACAATTTTAAGTTTTGAAAATAATATTTTTTTATTATAATTTATTGTATCTTGGCATTATATATCTATTATTGTAGATACTTTGTAGATTTCGTAAGGAAAATTATAAACCAACAAACACATGTATTCGTGTGTACGTATTTGTTATTCTACTATAACATTTTAACAATTACAATAGATCTACTTACATTTTATGTTGTAATAATACTCACCAATTTGATTTGTATTAAGTGCATATTTACATTTTACGTTGTGATTAAAAATTCTTTGTTGTTGTGTTATATAAGTGTTGTATTTATACAGTTTGTTTAGTTCACTTTCTGTCATGTCCAAAAAAGTAACGATAATAAGAGGAATCGCATAATCATCTTTGTCATGGTTTTCTGGCGTGTTTGAAGTATCGAACACGTATATTTCAAAGTTGCATAAAGGCGATATAATAAACCTAAGGAATTTAAGGTACTTCGGCAGAAATAATCTGCTTGTAAGTTCTGCGTTTAACGAAAAATAATTGCTTTTTCGTATCCATTGTATCCGTTTCCATTCGTCAGAGCAACTCGAGTGTAATGGTAACTCCGTAACAAAGTCGCTCAGGAAACAATACCAAATATTATTGGATCGCAACTGNCTACGAAAAATGCTAAAGTTGTTAACGACAAACTTTTATGACATATCTGTATTAAGATACACTTAAACATTTTAAAATATTATTACAGTTTATCACCTACTATTTCAACTATTAAAAGGTGTATTTAAAAAATAAGATAAAAATATTTTTTAGTAAAAACATTATAATTCACCACAATAGAAAACTTTAAAATATATAGAAATAGTTTGTTACGAATTTGTTAGTAAGAAGAATATACCAATAATTATAGTCATAAACTGTAGATCTGTCAGACTTTATTCTAATATATATATTTAACTTCGTTAATACTTACTCATTTAGTAAATAAGCCTTTGTATCCTTCCAAAATCTGTGTTGCATCACGTATTCCATCATGCGCAGTACAACGGGTACTAAAATATTGTACATTACATAAAGATAGTAGTGTTAATTAATTATTAGTGTTAATTATTATATAAATTTCTTTAGTACAAAAGTTTGGATGTATACAACTGTTGAAGCAATCACATCTTTCTTATATTTCTTTTTGTTAGTTTACTTATTTTATACACGTGTGTAACATAATAATATTTTTACCGTTTTTACCTTTGATAAATGGCGGTATACGCGTAGAAAGTGTAGCATTNGACAAAGTATTTTTTTGTCCTATAATCGGTTCCATTAAATTATCAACGTCCAAATGAAGAGACTCATGTAGTGTGTGTACTACAAACCAATTCATCATTNTNGTGGTTTCGTATATCTAAACAAAAAGTGTCNGAAGTNTTGTAATANTANATGTAAATGTTTANTAAAAGTTTNGNACTGTTCAAATNAAGTACATNTTTTTTGTACATATATATTGCTTNGAATATTTACNTTTATGNANGNTTNTGTACATTATTACTGTATGTTAACATANACATAGCACTCATAAGTAAAAAATATAANTGTTATAANTTTTATGTTTNTATTACATTTTCTAGATTACGTATAANTCAAATCATACTACTTATTCANTATTTACTAGCATTCCGTAATGCTTACGTCATTGNTTTTATTTGNAGTAAGTAATNCGTACCAAATTGTAAGGAAATAATGTACNNACCTGANTAAGTGCATAAATTCCAAAAAATTCTGCTACGGCATTAAACCATTGGTATGACCATAATGACGGTTTGTATAAACCAATAAACCATTGGAATACTATTTGACGTGCTATAAAACGATGTATACTGTTCCTCTGTACAAAGGAAGTTACTGGTAACGCATCGTCGAACATTATCTTTTCTTCNCTAAAAAGTATACACAATATGTCACATTTTTTCTAAAGTACTTTTATTTAGTAACTTCTGTACAACAACGTTTTCATGCATGTGTGATACTCATTTATGTTACATAAGATTCACGTTTAGACAACGAATAAAACAAATTNGAAGATTTAGAAACAGTTTCTATGTTATTGCTGTTACACAATATGTATAAACATAATAAGATTTTTTCTATGTACCTGTGAAGTACAAGACCCAATGTTGCTATAGTATCGTGTTGAAAACCAGGAATTGCAATAAAAGTAATATTTGGTATTCTGAGATCACCAAATCTGTTTATATAAAACTTCATGACTTTGTTTGCAATTTCAAAACAAAGAGAATCGATTTGTATATCACTCGGCAGTGAGGTAGATTTGTTCCACANTACNATATTGCCNATNGATGTATTCTTCATATTCATTGTAGATTTCGGAATTATAATTGCAGCTATTTCGTAAGTACTTATAAAAGGAGTGGTGTGAAAATGCGTCCACATCATGTTATTATTTACTGATTCAAACTCTCGCATCGGCATAGACGACAAAGCTANTTTAGATTTATGGTGCAGTATGGAAATGTTAAAAGTAGTCTTGACTGTCGGATCATCTTCCAANNATGGAAATATACTAGTTCCAGTTACGAGGGTATTAGTTGCGAGTATCCATCTATTGATATTTGTACCATAGACAAGAGAATATTATAGAGTATCAATCTAATGACTACTTTTATACATATCAAGAATAACGTATATATATCTGGTTTTTACTAAAACNTTGAATTATATATTTTTTATGTTACTTACGTCTGTNTTTTGGTGTGTGTAAAAGGAATTTTAACGAACTCATTTTCAGTNTTAGTAANGAGTCCNANAAATATAACACGTAAAGTGTAGTTTCCTCGTAACAAAGTATTTTCGAAATGTAGAATTGTGACAGTTTTTTTGTTTCTNCGTTTAATNGCNTGCTTTGTTGGNTTATAAAAGTGATNNGTAAACATGTCTTGTATCGATTCTNGTAGACTTTCTTGAGGTAATTGTGANTTATTTCTTGTAAGCATTACACTATATACAACCACATGTTTTGAGTATAATCTTATAGTTNGCGTGTTGTTTAGAATCGTGANAGAAGCATTGTACTCTCCATGAAAAGCATCTNTTGTCGCNAANGGCGCAANTTTAATAGTATAATGGTGTGGAATTATATGTTTTGGACGATTATCAGAAATATTTTGAGTTCTGATAATCGCCAANATGCTACTGANTAGTAAGAGCTCCCGAAAAGCCATTTTATGCATACTGTATGAAAACAAAAGTGTGCATTATAACTTTGAGCATGCAANGCTAATGACAAAATAAGCAANTAATNATAACGAAAAATGTNTCTGGAATTAGTAAATAGAATAAAGAGACAAANTACATGGNCGCGAGTGTTTGACGTTTGTTTGTTTTNATCTGTGTAAAGTAAATAAAAATATTGCAATAATANTACATATGNATACTATTACTGTGTACAGGTGATCAAAAACATAGTAACTGCAACGACTTTGTGAGTTTTGTACGAAAGCGTTCAAGAATTGAAACAAGTACATAAACATTCTGCTATATACTTACTATGTGCAGTAATCTATAAAGGTTTTCGATAATTGAAATGAGTTTTGAACAAAAATTATTTCTTCATTTCTGCAAACTAGATACTATACATATAGGTATACAGGCACAATGTTACCTTTTCAAAGGATCACCGAAAACTGTAGACAAACTATCGTGTACATGAGGTATATACATACAGCGTGAACGTCATATGTCCTCTAAAAGTGTTTTGCAAATCATGATAAACAAACTAAGCCATATCAGCAAAAAAAAAAGTAGAATGTCATATATTTGTTATTAAATAAGTATATTTTTTGAATAAAAATATTCAGAAATTACAATTTTTCAAAAACAATTATTTATTTTATATCATATAATGTTTTTTTTGGGTTGGAAAGGAAAGAAAAAATCAGGTAAAGCTCTTTAATATAACAAAGAAAACTTATCTTACGATTTAAAAAAGATTTATACATGTAGTAGAAAAAATATACAATTTTTGCAGTCAGCACCTTACACATTATTATATGTTGAAAGTATGACAATAAATTTTTTAGTGGGAGTTTTTGATAGAGCTTTTACATTCTTTATCATCTACTGAAAACATAGCTTGACGGAATTATATGACATCAGATTACTAGCACAATCTGAGCAATCTTAAGAAAAAATGGAAAACGTGTGATCATGTTAAAATATATATGAGTTTCGGGTATAGTTTTATATGATTATATTAAATTTTAAACAAGTCGGACGTGATTGTGTAAAATCGAATCCGAAATTTGGCGCACTCTGATTTTATATGATCATATATAAATATAAAAAATTGTGTATGATCATATAAAATTAGATCTGAAATTTGACGTAAGGTGATCACTTATATATAATCTTACGTGATCATGTTTCTATTTTTTCTCAAAATTTGTTATCTACATCATCCCAGTTTGCACATATTTCATTTAAAGAATTAAATCATGTAAAAAA